TAGCGACAAGGTAATTTTGCTCAGGGCCGCGTAGCAGACTCAACAAATGCCCGAAAGGCTGGTGCATTGTTGCGGTAAAATCAACACGATTTTTAGCCACACAAGCAGGCCGGCAGACAGTGCGTATGTGGAATATGACCAACATGGCGTATGAAGGATATCAACGCCGTTGTTGACTTACATTGTTCGTGGTGATTAGATTGCAAACAAAGCATCGTGATTTTCCGGAAAATCCATCCTGCCTTTTTTTCACATTTTCTATGAAGCATTTCCTCCAAACATTGGAACAAAAAATGGAATATAATTGAATAATAAACGAGCGTTTTTATGGTCGCAGCAGCTTTTTAAATATGCAAATTAATTTTTAAAATTTTTCATTTTTGTCTTTGAACGAACTGGACAATATGCTAATAAAACCGAAAATTTATTAAATAACGCCTTTAAAAGCTTTCAGTTGATGGAAATTCCTGCACAGGTTGCAGATTCTAGAAGATGTTAATCAGAATTTAAGAAACCAACATAAGTTTTTCAATTTAAATTTCAAAAAGGTCAAAAGGTGGAAAGTAAGAGCACTACAACATCAAAGCGAGGAGAACAAAGATCAGGAAAAGTAATAGTAATAAAAGGAAGCAGATAAGCGACAAAGCCGAGGCTGTGAAATGACAAGGTAGCAAAAGCAAAAGCAAGAAAGCAGCAAAGCACCTGAAAAGCAGATAAGCGACAAAGCACAGCACAATCGCCATAACCCAGAGAGTAGCAGTAGTACAAATGACTGCAAAGGCCAAAGGTTGGCAACTACGTATACAACCGCAACAGAGGCAATGGTTTGAGACCATAAAGAAATGAGAGAAACTATTCGAAAGTCATTTGGCAAGCGTTGAAGGGCGCAGAGGTCGGAGGTCGGAAAAGGGCAGCAGGGCAGGCCAACAGCAGGGGTAATGGTAATGGTAATGTCAATGGGCAGGGCAGTTGCTCAGATGAAAGGAGCACGAAGTGTTTATTGCAAAACAAAGCAGCAATAGTTTCAGAAAAACAACAATAAAAGTTGGCAAAAAACAAACCTAAAATATTTGCTTAACACAATGGGTGGGCAGGAAAAAGAGGATCAAAAAGGTGCTACTATAAATGGAATGGAAATTGAAATAAATCGATTCGGGTCAAAAGGGAAAAAAATGCTTAAAAAGGCATTGAAACAAGTTAACACTTGATTTAATTACTGTCTACCGGCGGTAGACAGATTTAAGCGTTATGGGCGTTAGAGTGGGCGTGGCAAATTTATTTTTGGATCAATCGATAGGTATTGACGACACCAATACATTTCAGTTAAAATTTTTTATCTAGCATGCAAATTGTGGGCGTCACAGGTTTTCGCGGTTTGTGGGCGTTTAAATGGGCGTGGCAAACTTTTTTTTAAGTCAATCGATAGGTATTGATGAGAACAATACATTTCAGTTAAAATTTTCTGTCTAGCATCAAAACTGTAGGAGTTACAGTTTTGGGCGGTTTGTGGGCGTTAGAGTGGGCGTGGCAGTCTACTGAAACAAACTTGCGCTGCGTAAGAAGCTCAGGAATCTGTACGCCAAATTTTAATAGCCTAGCTCTCATAGTTTCCGAGATCTCAGCGTTCATCCGGACAGACAGACGGACAGACGGTCAGACGGACAGACGGACAGACGGACAGACGGACAGACGGACATGGCTAGATCGACTCGGCTAGTGATCCTGATCAAGAATATATATACTTTATGGGGTCGGAAACGCTTCCTTCTGCCTGTTACATACTTTCCGACGAATCTAGTATACCCTTTTACTCTACGAGTAACGGGTATAAATATTATACTTTGTTAGATTTAGATAAAGTGTATAGGTCAGCAAATCAAATAGCCCTATAATACTTCTAGAATACCCCAGTAATTTGTTAGACCTATGAATCAGGGTTGCAAAAAGAAAACTGCAAAGATGCATGATGAGTTTTTCCAAAACTGAAACTCCGTTCATCTCTCTCCACTTCTCAAACACTTTTTTCCGCTCCTCCATTGTTGCACTTTGATTGCACCAACCCCTCGAGAGACGAGACGAGTCTTGGCCTGGGCCATCATCATCGTCTTCATCGTTGGTTACCCGTTGGCCTCGTTAAGTTTTGACAGGCCAACTAATTTCAGGGCAAAAAGAGGAGCAAAAGTGGCCCGGGGACAGCGAAGGGCGAACGCGAAGTGACACTTTTTCACCCCTTCCGAGGCGACTTCAACTGGAGGCCAATCAATCCTGGACGAGGAGTGGCCGACTGGCAGGCAGTTCAAGTGCCGCCCGAGCCCGGTTCACTTCATCTTCATTCATTTGGGCAATTGTGCGCCGCCAGAAGCCCTCTTCCCGTTGGTCCTTTCCCAACTTTGCCTCCTTTTCGTCCTTTTCGTCCTTTTTGGTGTCCCAACGACAATTGCAAATATGTTGCAATTTCCCGGTTTGGGGCCAATGGTCGAAGGCTGCTCTTCCTGTTGCTTGTTTGCTGCTCCTTTCTATCTACCATCTTCCATCCGCCATCTTCCTCTTCTCTATTTCCGCTTTCTCCTCCACGTTCACCTCTTTCCCGACAGGACATGGCAGGCTGAGCACAGCCTGGGGACCTCCAAAATGTGTTGCAACTGCCTTGTCCTCCCATTTTTGGAACCCCACTCGCTGCTCCTCCTGCCACGAAGATTGATCACAGTTGGCCCCGAGTTTTTTTAACCCCCTCCTGCCATTTTTATTTCCGCCGCCCCTGTCGCAACGCCTCCTCCGCCTGTCGTTTAATATGAAAAATTGCGCGCAAATATTTGCAAAGCTTCCATGGAGGGCGAAAAGGGTAGAGAAGCCTCGTCTGGCTATCCTAATTGTGTGAATTTGTCAGTTTTGTTGCCGAGGTCAGATATTAATCGTTTGCCAAGCGAACTAATTTTTTGTTCCGGGAATTCCCATTTGTGGGAAATGGAGTAATGGGAAAGACGAGAATGGAGAGCAAAAACTATTTGTCGAAAATGCAAATTAAATTTAAAAGTTTAAATTGATTGTAGTTTAATAGCTGTTTATCCAGGAATTATGTATATTTGAATTTATGTATTCTATTACCATATTAAAAAAGATTTAAAAATACATAAATCAATCCTAAAGATTTTCAACAATTACTAAATTTCTATTTAAATTTTGGAATGTTTCTTCTCATGCTTCTAAAAACCTCTGTGAGCACAAAATGTAACCTGCAAGATACACTAAATAATAATACAAATATTCTGGTATTAAATTTTACCAATTTAAATTTATGGAGATTGGCTTAAATCCCTAACTCTTCTACTCCCATTTTTACCATTTCCACACTCTTTTTCCACTCACTAGCTGGCCAGAAGCTTAAACTACGTCAAAGGGATCAGGTCCAAAGAGAACTAAGATATAAAATAGTAAGTGAAGATTAACCGGAGTAGCTTACGGTTATTCGAATGCACTTAACGGAAGCCCCAAAGCTCATTGCCAGTTGTTAACTCGGCTTCATTTGCCGCAGTTTTAAATACTCTTCGCGATTATATTTTCACCCAAGGAAACGAGAGATAAATAAAAAAAAAAAACACCAGAAAAGACACAGAAACATTTAGAGAAAGGGAAACCCGATGCCATTTCAAAGAAAAGCGAGGAACTGCGAAAGGAATCCATAAAATCTAACATTAATGCCTTCATTTTGAGCTCAACAACAGCGAAAGTTGGAAAAGCAGACAAGGCCAAAAGGAAAATAAGGAAAGCGGTGGAAGGCCATGGAAAACTTGAAAGTGGCAAGAGGCAAAAAGAATCTTTAGCCAAAGTTTTTCGCTTTTTCTTCCTCTTTCGATTTTAACGCATTGCTTAAGGCTCAAGGGGATCGTTGCTGAAAAGGAGGGGCGGGGGTCAGGGGGCGTGGCATGGCCTAACGCCCGACTGCAATTCGCCAAACTCGCAAGGATAGCGAATCGAAAAATTGGCCTTAGACCAGCAGGAATGATGGGAATTTTCGAGCGCGACAAGTTTGCAGCGGGGCAAAATAGGAGGCTTTTAGAAGGATATAAATACACTGAAAAAAGTGATTGAAGAAGTCAAAAATTTAAGGAGTAACGTGTGATTTCCACAAAAAAAATGTAAAATATTCTGAATATTTAATAAATAAATGTTAAGTATGCCCAGAACATAACCTAATTATCGTTAAGATAAGATGGTATTACAAGTTTTTTTTTCGTATAAAAAATTTTATAGATCTTTGGTTCTTTATTGCCTTATATTACCTACTAACTAAATACAATGTTGTTAATATGTATTTAATTAATCATAGGACCTAATTTAGTCAACCCGTTTTTTCTCTGTGTACATAGAGTCTTGTTGAGCGGTTTATCCGTCTCTGGGTCTAAAAATGAAAATTGAAAATTGCTTGAATTGCATTTCGCTCTCGTTTTGATGAGAATCTTCCGGGGGTTTGGAAAGGGTGGGCGAATTTGTAGATGGATTTCTTCCACCCCCTCTCCTTTTGAGCTATGCGGATGGTTAGGCAAACATCTGCTGCAGCTCGTCGAGCTGCTCCATCTTTTTCAGCTAGTGCCGAAGGCAACGTGGCGTATGAGCAACTTCGAGATCTCTTGAGTTTCACACAGTGCTGACAAACACTGGAGTGGCATGTTTGTTATGAAATCCTCTTGGATTTCGCACGCTGTTCCTTTTTCTTAAGCCCTATCTTATGCCCTTTTAGTTAAAATCCCATTTAATTAAACCATTAAGTCTGACATGGCCTTTACTAAGAGTTTTCCACATTTGTGTTTCGGTTTCCAGTCGGAGATTCCCCTTAGTTTAATGAGCAAATGCTCGACGCTCCACGAAAAGTTGTGTAATTGAAATTGCGGATGTGGCGAGGGTAAGCACTGCAAAAGATTTTCAGTTTGTAGTTTTCGCTCTTTGTTTCGCCCTCAGCTTTTTAAACTTGTTTTCATTATCGCGCTGCATTGGAAACTTACCTCAAATGATTTATTTATTTGCTGGCTGCACTGATTTGTTTGCAATTCACTTGGGCACCAAAGTTCTGCAATGGGAATAATTGAGGAAAAAGTTATTAGCGCGTTATGCCGAGTAGGTAGTTGGGGAAATAATTTAAAACTATTTAAACTAATTAGGCATTTCATACTTAAATTCTGTTGGCTGAAATACCATATGATTTATGGGAGGGATTAAAGTTGTGTTGAAAATGTTTAACAAATTTGCTGATTAAATCTAGAACAACAAAGGCAGTGAAAATAAGCCACAAAAAACATATACTCGTTTGAACGGGTAAAAAACACATGTATGGCAAATACTTTACATTCAATTTTTAATTAAATTGGCTAACATTTTGCCAAAGTCCCATGAAGTACTAAAAATGCAGACCAAATCAATCCCTAATTTTTTTTGCTTAAACCAATATTGTATGAAAATCTGTTTTATAATTAGAGAGGTTTTTTCAAGAGCGTTTTTAAAAAATGCAGTTTTGTTCCTCAAGTGAATTTCTAGGATTTTTAAATGTCCGGTTTTCCATTTTCCGTCGACTTTCGGCAGCACTTAATTATTATCCTCGATAGATGGTCCAGTGGTTATGTCATATTTTGATGACCCAACCTCGAGTGCTTTCAACCCGTTTAGAGCATAAATCTCTGGGCAATCCCTCAACTGCAGCAGCAGCAGTGACAAACTTCGGTTGGTCAAGAGGAAGGCGACTACTAAGCACAAAAGGGCGGCATCGAGCAGATTTGCCCCCCACCTTAGCCTGTGGGCCACATGACGTATGCGCAATATGCCATCAGCTGGACAGAGGACTTAATTTAAAGCCGCTTTCGTCAACAGTTCTCGGGACTCCTGAGCTCAATTTCTGGCTGGCAGTAAACAAAATAAAACTCCAAGTCTACAAACAGACGATAACACCCCATCGTCCTTCCTTTTGTCTGCTTTTAATTATGGTTTTACACAGGCAGTCAGACAGACAGATGGACAATTAGTGCCGGCCATGAATTATGAGCGCTCGGCTTTTATTTTATTTTTTCCCCCTGCTCGGGTTAAGTAAATCATGGTCAGGAGTCGGACTCGGGGCTCATAAAATCACTTTAAACAATAGCTGATGGGGGAGGAACTGGGAGGGCCAACAAATGTGTAGTTAACTATTATGGCTGCCAGGAGTCTGAACTGAACTTTTGTGCTTCATTTCCGTTTCCGGTTGCGACTGCACACATATGCAAAGCATGCTTGGTGAGCATGGGCGCCGGCGTAAGGGGGGTTTCGGCAGCAGCATATGGATAATGGCGAAACGTGCCGAAAGCCAAAAAGTTTATGAGCAGAAAAGACAATGTCAGGAGCGAAGGCGGCAGCTAGTGAGGGGGCGTGGCCCCAAAGAGCAGCTCGTTTGTTTTGACTTTCAATTGGAATGCTTTCCTACAGTCCCGAGGCTCCTTTGCCTACTGTTGCTCCTCTTTTTTTTTGAATTTTTGTATGCCATGGAAGAACTTTTAGCAATTTGTTTGGCGCTACTTGGAGAGCTTGTGAGAGCTTCACTTATGCAAATATAAATACAAATACAGTGTATTTCCAGAGAAGACTGCACCTATTATAATCAGATGGAGGTGATTTATGGCTTTAAATTATGGGACTATATTAAATTGAATTTAAAGTACTACTAATATATCATCTTAAGCTCAAGGAGCTTTACATATATTTCGTTATAATAACTTCTTCTAGATGGAGGTGATTTATTGCTTTAAATTATGGGGCTATATTGAATTAAATTTATATTATAAGTATAACTATTGTATCCTCCTGTTTTCTTAAACTGAAAGAGATTTACATTTATGTTGTTATGCTAAACCGCTGAATTTATTGAAATAAAAAGTTGAACTTAACTAGTTCCGTTTGTAAGTAGAATACAAAAAAACAAAGGGAAGGGTTTATGGACGATCTAGACAGGCAAAAGCAGACAAAAAGGATTTTTCTATAGAATCCAATTGAAGACTTCTCCCCAGCAGTTTGTTGTCCTGTCCATCCTTCTGTTTGTCCATCTTGTTAACCTTTCTCCTAACCCTTTCTCCGCCCCATTGTGATGCCATTCAAGATAAAAACTTAACTCAAGTCAACCCAGTCGACTTGTTGGCCCAATCTCTCATAAAGAAGTCTGAGGAAACAAGGCCAAAATCGAGAATTGTTTTGGCCTTAAAATTTGTGGGTCAATTGTCGTTGTCGTTCGTATTTCACATTGCTTTATCTGCTGCTCGCCCTGCATTTTGCAATATATTTATGCACATTTCCATGGTATTTTATGTGACAGGCAAAGCAACTATGAAATGGGAAAAGTTAAGCATTTTCCATTCGGATCTCTTTTTCCTTAAAGTCTTTACGTGTGACAGCTCTGGTAAACATAAATCCAGGCAACGGGATAAATGACAAAGTGCAAATTTGTTCTAAATAAATTATCCATTTTTCGGTTTTCGAAGGAGTTGTTTAAATCAGATTTAAGATGGGATAAGAGCCAAGTTTTCAATTGAGTAGCTTAAAAAGCTTGACTGGAATTTTCTTTTAATATTAAAGAAAAATGTAAAAAAAATGCTATAAGGTGTAAAGAATGCAAGTCGGAAGCTAAAGGACATCTTGCTGTCTTGAACACATCTCAACTGTTTGTCAACAGGCTGCCTCCATGGAATAAAAAGCTGATTGGAAGAACAAAACTCATTTTCCCCGACTTCTAATTCCGTACAAAAATTCCCAGTGGCCGGGTGTCAAAATCAGGCTGAATTGGATTCCTCGTCCTAACAATTTCTCCCTCCTTTCTGGCCCGAATCGGAAGAAAGGCGCCGACAACAATGAATGGATATATCTGAAGCTGACATGTGTATAACACAGAGAGACAGAGAGAGATGGAACATCGTGAGGGACAGGGACAGACAGTCTGACAACGTGTTCCATCAACCGCACAACAAAAGACAACAACAGCTCCTGCAGAAACAACCGAAAGCCTCAACAATAACCCGTTGAAGATGGAGATGAAGAAGGATTTATTGTCGGTGGACCGAAGGCAACGTAATGCACATGTCCTAGGGGGTGGGGGTTAGGGGTTGGGTCCTCTGGCCTTCGGGGGGCGGTCGATGTCAGAAGTCTTGGCTATCAAAAGATTAAATCAAATTGGAGACCCCGAAGGCTGGAGGAGCCACAAAAATGTTGCCTACATTTGGGCGTAATTGCAAGAGTTTTGAAAATAGGGATCTTTTGTGAGAGAATTTTTACAATTCCACAACCATTGGTCATAATTAATGTAATAATTTTAAATAGTGTTTTTAAAAACCTACTCCAATAAAAGGATTTTTAAAAATATTTAAATATTATATTATTAAAGTTTAAAGATAACCATCATGGGATTAATGTAAGGTTTTTATTTTCAAAGTGTATAGACATTTCTTTAATTTATATTGGGTTAGGGAAAGTCCCTGGTTATATTCCTTTTCCACACATACATCTACACACAGCAAATTCAAATTTGCCAACTCATCAGCCAAATCTCTCCTTATCTGCTTTCCTCTCCCATTTCCCTGTCGCCCATTTTCCCCCATGGGGATTACTCCGCTTGCGGGCTACCATTCAATTAAGTCATCATCGCCATGCATCTTGGCAGCATTTATCACGCAACCTACTCACCGCCACCCAAAAACCGCCCAAAAAGCACCCCACTTAACCCCATAGCCACTTGTCGAACATGATAAATTTGTGGGAAAATGCCAGTTGGTTCCGTGCACCAAAAAAAAGGAAAGGGGGAAATTTTCGTAGAGTTCCACCGCCCCGCTTAGAATGTTATTGCATTTTTAGCACCACGCCCTCCGCCCCCGCGAGTTGCGTTAATTTTGCGCCAGCTGTCAAATGTCAAAATGTCAAGTGAAACAAAATTTTCGCATCATGAGAAATGCATGTCAGAGTCACACAAAGTCTCCATGGAGTGGGGGTACGAGTGGGCGTGGCTTGGCGTGGGTATGTAAGCCAAACCAGGCGACAGTCTGCTTTTTCCCCCCAGTTTTCCACCCAGGCTGCATACTTTAGTTGGAAACCCCCCCCCCGCGCCCAACCCACCGGAACCGCCAACGGAGTGGCTGCCTGGCTGGAATCGTTATCGAGTTACCCAGCCGGAGCTCGCTTCATCATCATCAAACGGAGCGTGGCGAGGATGCTGAAGGGTTAAGCGGGGGCTATGGGGGGTTAAGCCGGGTGCGGGGGGTGAAAGTTGCGGGGAAAGGTCGGAGGGCAGGCGGTTGAGCAGCATCAACATCATGATAATGCCCATTATTAGCAGTGGCAAAGCATTTGCATGCATTTTAGAATTTGTATATTCCGCCATTTCTCCACTGCTTATTACACCATGCAACAGAATAGTAGATTTGCACTGAAAAGATTATTATAATAACATCGATGTACTTTTGGCTTATAAATTTAAATGGGAACTATAATAGTTATTAGATAAATACATTTTTTAAGTACAACAGTGAAAGTAGAGAATTACATTATATTTAATTCCTGCAACTAATCATTCATAACTTACAATGATCATTAGATCTACCTTTAATTTCCTATTTCTAAATATGATCTTGATTTTTTGTAGGATAGCTCCTAATAGGTAAAATTTTGCTGACAAGTGTCATGGTTATAAGGCGAAAAGTTGCGTGTCAGTGGTGCGATGTGCATCTGTTGCGGGACAAGTTCAGCCACATTCAGTTGGAGGCCCACTAACACTCTGCTGCAGGGCCTGCTTTCTCCTTCTCGCCCCCCGGGATCCCCGATTCGAAACCGATTTATGCGCACATTATAAGCAATTACACGGCCAAGCCAGCTGGGAACTGGCAACTGGCAACCGGCATCAGTTCCACTGCCACTTCTGCGCAAACTTACAGCCACGGCCACATCCCCAGCCACATATCCACTCCCATATCCATTTCGATAACTATTTCGGGCGCTAATTGAATCAGCGACTCATGACGGGAGTGGATCCACATCCCCAGAGGTTAAGCGATGATTTGATTTGCCGCT